GGGCACAAGTTTAGGTTAGGTGAGGTTTGTTTCCAAGGATAAATATGATTTGATCCAAGGAAGCTAAATACTGACAGAAGACAAGGCAGGGATACTGTCGTATGTAAATTGTATAATTTTATATCATTGTTTAATCATTTCGAACGTGTTTTCGGGTTCCAATCAAAGCTACGGTGGTTCAGTTTAGGCTCATCCTGAAAGAGATACCCAAAGCTAATTCGATCGATTGGCACGAGCGCCGTAGGATGGCCAAGAGTAGCAAGAAACCAGCATGGACGAATCTTGAGGCTTTCTCAGAAGGCCACTTGATGTACGACTTCCCGAAAGGCACCGGGCAGCCGGCGGAAAAATAATCAAAGTCGAAAATAACGAGGCTTCCTACGTGCATTTCGTGAGCGCGATTAAATTTCCGTACAATTTGGTCAGTACCGTGAAGCATAAGTGGAAATTGTATGCTATTAACAAGACACGAGGAAACAAACATTCTACGTATATCTGATGTACAGCTCGTTAAAAATTCTTTAGTTCGAATATATCATGCTGTGCTATACCTGGATGTCTATGGTATACAATAGTCATGTCATGCCGTAAGTAATTCGTTTTTTCGTTTAAACCTCCACCAAACCTCAAGTATTCATCTTCATTCCGTAGACCTATTTTACTTATACTGGGATTAAGAAGGTTTAGGGAAAATCAAACTAAATCCGAAAAGTCTCAACGTTAGTAACCTTCGAAAAGCTTCCTAATAAACGTCCTTCAGTATAATTGTATATTCGTGTTTGCGTAATTGACAATAATTAGAGTCATCAAATATTTATTAGATGAATACGTAGATCACCATTAGTTAGGATAAAATCAATTCGTACCTTAAAAGACGAAAGTCAATCAGTAATGAGAATTCGACAATCAATGATACGACACGATGCAATACTGTAATAATTATTATCCATAAACATACTTAAAGATATTTCCTTAACAGTTATTGCAGCAGACACTATTAATAATTTCCAACTATTCTATTTCTGCGTTATTGGATGCTCCTAATACTCTTTCGCCCACCCAGATCCTCTTTTTTATTTACTGCAGAAACATGCCCAGCAATTTCCGCTAGACACTCAAGTGATCCGGAGAGTCTTCCTCAGTGGGTGGTCCATATAACGGGTGTTCCTAACGTAACAATCACATTTAGCACAGCCAGACAAAAGGACTCTCATTAAAACTGTCCAATGTATTCCATAAAATCTTTCATAGAGAATAGAGAAATTTATTAAATAATTCACTATTATATGCTGCATTAAGCTGCATTACGTTTGCAACTAACGAGAATATCAGAAATTCTATTTTTTTATCGCGTTAATGATTTTAAAAAAAGTGAAAAACATTGTTATAAAATTTCTTTTGTACACGACCAAATGCTCGTGATTTTTTGAAAAATTTAGCCAAGTACGGGTTGTTTCAAGTTTCGAAGTCTTTCTCGTGCGTATTCAATACTTGAAAATATCTGTCAGTCAGCCAATTTTGTGTACCATTAATGCTATTGGACATAAAATCTATTTCAAATCCATCGTCTCTGGTGAACAGCTGACGGCAATTTTCACAGTCTGATGACCGCAAAACGCTATCGTCAAATCATTTGCATAAGTGCGTAGATATAGTTTGGACATAGAGAATATAGGTAGATGTAGTATATATATATATAAACTTGTCAAAGGGTCGTTATGAGAACATGTGGCACTCACAGCCGATGTGTTTTTTTTCTAGAAAACAAAAAACTAAATCTTGAGACATGTGGCAATGGAGTTCTTCTAATCTAACTTAACGTAACCATTTCTTAGCCCATCATAACTCCGAGTGTCTAGCATGGAAAATATTTTTGGAAAATCCGCTCTGAGTGTCGCTTTATGGTCCTGACAGTACACCGTAGGTATCAAGATGCTATCAGGCCCGTCCTGACAACCACCGAGTCCTCATAACTGCCAATACTGCCACATGTTATAAATGTATGCGTGGCAATAAATGTATATAGCCATATACATGAATTTGAAGGGTATATATATATCTGGCAAATATTTACGTCTCCATGAAAAATGATAGAAAAAATATTTTGAAAATGAGCCAAAAATACGATATCTTTCAGCACAATTTTTTAATATCTATTAATAGCTGATTTGGCTTTACGTAATACTCGATGAATATTTTATTGATTTTAAGTAATAGAACAGACTCTACTTAATAAATTATAAAAATCTTGAGATATACAAGAGTTCGTTCGTCAGAAAATTTTGAACTTTTCATAATTATTTTATCCAAAATGTATATACAGGTATAATTTGACATTATTTTTAATTTTCATTTCGTTTGGTCACTATTATTCGACGAAAAGAGGCGTTCTGAAACATCTTATTACTATCAAATTCCTAAATACCAAAGGGATTACATTGATTAGATAACGTTAGATTAGTTTCGCTATTATCAATAGGTATCTATGTGTTTTTGATCTGAAGATAAAATCCCACTAGACTATGTGTTTGTGTTTTCCAAAAAGAAAAGACAAACATGGCCGCAAAATTCTAGGGCGGTACTAAATTTCTCCTAAAGACTTTATCTTTTATATCTTACAATGAAATATGGATATTTTGAGAAAAATTATATACATTGAGTATACAAAAATATATATGTATATGTATATAGGTGAAAAATTTAGTTTTCCGAATGTCTAAATTTCCACAGCGTCGTTTTCCCAAATGGTGGTTTTCCAAAAAATTCACATTCCTCAATGACCAACTTCAGACTCGTCTTTTTCCCCGTAAAATGGCAATTCGGAAAAGTAACGTTGCAGGAGGTTGGCCATTTGAGATTGTAAATTTTTTGAAAATCGACGATTCAGGAAAATGATGGGAACCCATTGTTATCTAATGGAGTAATACGATATCGAATCAAACTTAATACTCCGAAATAACAAGGGATGAAAAACATTCCGGTTTCTCCCTTGAGACAGAAGCAGGGGTAGTAGAATTCATCCTTAGGGATAGACAGAGATTGGTTTTTCAGACTTTCAATTATTATCGATATGAATCTTCCGCTATTTCACGCGTAATGAGAAATCTTATTTTAAAAGACAAATATATTTAATGCAAATGATTCAGATTAATATTGCAAGTACTTTCGTTTTCCAAAAAAAAAATTAATTAAAACCCTCTCCAGCATGTAGACACACATGGGAATGTCAATTAAAAGTAATGTAATTTACGTGTAAATGAAATATGCGCTTTATAACGCCATTATCAATCGCATAATGGAATCGAATTCCTGGCAAGAAAGAATTTTTTTGAAATTGATCTTTTTTTTATTTTATTCAACTATCACTGCACAGTTTCCTTATTGACAGAGTCTTGTCTCGCAACAATTTCTCTTTTCTCTTTCATTTCCCACTTATCATTAGAAACTCATAAATTTTGTAATAACTTCAACGTCCACGATGGGGTTAGCGATAAATAAAAAAAAATGACAAATGCGACTATAAATAAAACCAAATATTTTCCCCAAATTCTGCGAGACGAGCGCGTAAATTCCATTTTTGTCAATTCTCAGTTGTAACTCCATTGATGCCACGGGTAAGCTTGGCATTAACTTTTGGCAGAGACAATCTCTATTTTGGCAGTGAACGCGCAGCGCTTCCTCGAATACGGACACTGTACGCGTTGCATACATAAATAAATAAATATGCAGAAGGTGTTCTGTCATTGCCAACTTGATTCATACGAAGATCCGAGTCCCTACGATTCTCGGGATTCGTTCCAACATTCATTCTTGTAATCGGGTCGATGAACTTCTAAGCAAATGAAAAAATATATATGTTATAAATTTTTACTATCTCGCATTACACTGGCTTTCCCCATGAGTATATAAACTCTTTCCGATTCTGATAACTTAATACTCTGATTCCGTTACTCCTTCATTTTATACGACTTTATTTCCCCGTACTTTCACTTTAAAGTTCCTAAAGCTTAACAGATTTCTGAGGTCTTATGTACCTTTCATAGTTATTATTCATTTACTGTACTACTCGTGTATTCAAATACTTCGTTATTCCTTTGACTGCACGAAATAAATGCCCTCATATTATTATGCGTGTTCTGTATTATTCAGCATCACTTTTAAAATAGCACACTCTAATGGAGCATTTACCCACATATACAGGTATGTCTACTATCACGATTGTTATTTTGGAATCGTTCATTATCATTTTTCAAGTTTCGTTTATCTTCATTAACTTTTTATACCAGTACATTCTTTTGAATTGCATATACGAAGAAACTCCTATCTAGCTTACCCTTGCAGATTCTTGATCCAAGGACAATTGACTAAATTCACTTTTCTTCTTTATAACCTGGTGACGCGGCTGTATGCGACGCACTTTTCTTTCTCTTAACCTCATGTGATTTTCTAATCCTAAGACAATACGATACATCGTGTCATAGCGCAGTATGTGAAATAATTGCATCACCTTCGTGAACCTTTCCCCTCTAAATCTATCATGATTCTTCTTCGTCTATTTTTCGCGTACACTTCCATGAAATTTATCCTCAAGTATTGTCGCGTGGGATAATTCGAAAAAAAACATTATTGGGCCTTTCTTTCATGTCATCTGTTAAGAATAGTACAATTCGGCGGATGCTATTCCGGCGCGCATGTGGAGTCGAACTCGTGAAGTTATTAATAATACAGAAATCGGGCGATATATTCGTCCAGGCTTGGGATATACAGTAATCACGTTCATAGGAATTTTAGCGCGGTACATTAACCGTGGGATTTGATAGTTTCTTAGAAATCAGTTAGATTTTCAAGATCTTGCGAAAATTTGAGAACATTCAGAATTTCATAAATCAATGATAACCGATAAAATTTGTACGATTCGAGTAATTCATAAAAGTCAGTATAAAAAATATAATTCCTAGTGTAATTCTTTTTTAATTATCACATTTTTTCCAAAAACTCACCCTTGCTGGTCAAACTGAAACTGCGCAATCTGTAGCTGTCCTCGTCTTCGCCCTCCTCTCTTTGCGGCTGTTGAGACGTGTCAGGTACGTCTAAGAAAGCGTTGCTCTTACGTTGATGACTGTGGTGCATACTCTGACCACGACGACTTCCTCGTCTTCTTAGACCTGGACTTACGTCATTCTCGGTAAGTCTCGGCTCGCTGCTGCAGTGTGCGGATTTTACGGTTGCCTCGTGTGCGTGATGCTGTGCGGCAGCTGTAAAAAATGTACTGTTATCGAGAATTGCAAAAATCAATAATAAATATGACACACGTAACATCGTGTTGGCCAATTCTTTTTTTTATTCATTCATTTACTTCACCTGCTTCTCCTACGTGTTTTTTTTGTTCCACTACTAATCGTGCTGACTGAATGCATAAAAAGAGTACGAGGCTCGCAGAGGGTAGAACACTTGACAAATAAAACGTCGGAACCTGTGGCGTGCTTATTTGAAACTGGACGTTTTCATTGAAAATCGTATTGTTGTTTTCACATTTTTTTTTCCGTGGTTTGAGAATTCTCCCCGCCCCTCTTTACAATTTCGATAAACGCTTCATGCATACAAACTGGTGGATGATTTTTTATCAGTGAAGTCTACAGTACGTCAGATCACTTTTAAGTGAAAAATTGTTCTCACGAGACATTTTTTGTTAATCATTCAAAAGCACGTGAGCACTTTCGTTTTGTTCAATTAGCATATAATTACAGGGTCTTGTTCAGTGAAATTAGTAATGGAGACTGAATTTTAATGTTAGTTCTTCTTTTGTGGTCGTTCAATAAAGGCGAATAATGTTAGATGGAGTTTAGTTAGCATGTACCTGGGTCCTAAATAAATCTCCGTACTTTGCCTACGTTTTGATCGGGTTGCCTGTTATAACTATATACAGTTTATTCCAAGGCAATTAATTATAACGTTACGTAATTGGTATAATTATCTGAGAATTAAAATTTCGTACATCATTTACCGTTATGTCGTTGGTATTGTTTTTAATTGCCATATTTAATGAAAGCACTAACTATTAATTAAAACATAATTTATATAGGTTCACGCGCCATGTGGTTTAATATACAACACCGAAAACAATTTCATGTTACACAATAATTAAGCTACATTCGTGTACAGTACGAACAGAAAGTTTGTAAAATTTGAGTACTTCAAAATTCAAATATTGATTAATTTTATCTTTTTCATATATCAGCATATATTAAGTCACCGTAAGATTAAAAATCGTAATGGGATGCGTGCCTGTATCTATTTTTGAATGTTAAAAATGGCGTAGACGCTGCAATAATATGTAGATGATAAAAATGGCAGATCAATATCAGGAAAGTTCGTATAGGTACGGACAGTTTGATTCAATTTTCCTGGACACGTCTCCATTGCCCCGTTTCACTCTTCGCAGAGTCATAAAACAATACTTTATCCACAAACGTTGAGGGATCGCGTGTCTATGGGGAGTTTTTATGACGGCAATACAAAGCATATGTGGTTAAAACCCCATGAAATACGTAGCCATTATCAGCGTAAGAGTAAAATCCATAATTCACTTGACGGTAGACTCAGATCCCAAAGAAATTCCAACAATATATTATCATCAATATAATTCCAGGTTTATATATTAAAAAAAAAGAACCATGATGAATATCCTGTATAAATATATGACGTAAAAAGTAAAATAAAAAAAATAGTAAACCTTGATTTTTAATGAATTAACCATTCACGCATAGTGACGTATGTGGTATTATAATAATGAAGAAAATGCAGTATTTATTATGTATTATTGGTAACGTTAAATGTAGTTGAACTTATAAGGTTAAATTATAAAAGCACTTTTCTTAATACTTAAAAAGCGGTATTGTCATTTCGTTATAGGAAATGTGTTCGTATAGCTCATAGCGGTGTCGTATATAACCAATAGCCCGGCTGATGTCTTTACGAGAAACTAAAACAATGTTACGTAAAGTGCAAATGAAGTTTTGTTATTCCATTTTAGTTTTCCTTTTGGTTGCAATGGCGAATAAATTCGTGTAAAAGACAAATGTGACGTAAGAATAAAAATGACCAACACACAAGTCCCTCTTTTACCATTGTGGATAGTGTAATTTAGCCATACGGTAAGTTCAAAGTATAAAGAAAGGAAGCAGATAGCAAACTTAACGTGATTTTAATATTTATCTTGCAAAAACAAAAATTCTACCTTGAGCAGCTGCCCTTCTTCGAATACTCTTATTGGCACCGGATACTCGTGCACTTTGTGATCTAGTAGCTGGTCTGCGTCTTCTTGTCGGTGTATTATTTTCCGGGGTTCCACTTCCCGACTCCCTTTCGCGATCTGCTCTTTCGTTGCGTTCCCTTTGTCCGTCTTTAGCACCAGAGGGCGGAATCGCACCTAGCATCTGTTCCATGCTTGAAAAACCGGGAGCGCAGATCGACGCCGATCTGGCCTTTCTGTGAAGAACTTCGTCGGCCATATTTGTCTTGGAAATATATCCGGTGTCGAGTAGAAAAGTAGCAGTTCCGTTTTTAAAATTAGCGCGAGCACGTGCTCCGAGCGTGAGGTGTATTTGTTCGTTGGATTGAACAGTAGGGAAACTTTTTCAAAATTTTCACCACCATCGACAATTTTACTAATTGTCCTCCACGCTCTACGTAACTTTTCCTTTTCGAATCTTTCAATTTTACGATATAACACGAAATAGCTCAAAGATTAAAGGAAAAGGGAAAAATAATGATCACGAAACACAAACGCGTACTTTTTCTGATTTCTTGTTTATTTTTATAGGTTATACAGTTTGCTTTCTCACGGCCGATAGCAGAGCGCCATGCGCTTATGCGTACCGGCGATATTCATTTTACGACGATTTATTTGTTGTGATTGGCCAAATTTACGGGCTCGTTGCGTATTGCCGCACGATTTTAAATTTACGAAATGTTCGCGCTATCAATTTCTTTTTTATTTTCCAGATTACGTCTTGACAGACCACTAAAATTTTTTTTGTCACTTGAAACTTTTTCAATGACTATGGAAATACGATTTTATGCGACATAAACTTTAACGCTTTTTTTTTCTTGATTTACGTCACCTTTAATCGCTAAATTTAAAAATGAAAGATTTGAAATTTTTTTTCTCAAAATCAAATTCGACGGACAACACTCTCTTGTAAATCCAATTTCTTGTTTTCAGCAACAAAATTACACAGCTGATTCGTATATGAATACGAAATGTTCAATTCGGCGTAACCACGTGTTGCAAATATTGTACACGCAATCTCGATACTTGTGAAAAAGACCGCATGGCCACTTACGCGTCTTCTCTACGAAAGTTCATTAGCAATTCTTTTCAAGACTACTTCGAACAAAATCCTACAAGCCGCCGTTTAACTTTGGTGACAATAAAAAACTGTAACGCAGCTCCCGGGTAATTTTCGAAAATTTAATAACACGTATATGCATCTACGAACAAAACACTGCGAATATGCTCGAGGCGCCGATACGTTTCGCGGCGTACTGAGGGTAAAGCGTCGCGGCGCTCTCTACTGCGCCAGCTCACTCCCGGAAAGCCGAAGAACGACCAGACCTCGGCGTCGCGACGCCAACCACAGCGCGAGCCTTCCTGAAACTTGGACGTCCCTGGCCCTGAGCCAGACACGCATAGATACGTGCCTGTAAGGATATAGGGATCTGCATAACCATCTATACGGTATAATCAGTGCATGCACTGTATGCGATGATGCTTGATTATACACAATTTTGAATCTATGATCATATGAGGACATGAATACACGAATTTTGGAGTATGACAACATATATGCACGAGCATGTGCAGATGGGGTACATGTATTTATCTATATATCTGTTAAATATAAATAACAATACTATAACTATATACATATATAGGCGATGTGTTAAAGTGCCAAATTTCATATTTCACAAACGAGCTTGACTTCGTATATATATCTTGTATTTTTCCAGTGTTTATAAAGAAAAAAGTGTTATTGCACTTCGTCTTTGGCAATCGTAAAATACATATGCAGCTAAACGCATATAAAGAGAAGTGCATCGCACCCTGAAAATGTCCTAAATGCCATTAATTTCTAAATGTCCTACATCAGGTCGGAAATCATGAATTATTTTTCCTAGCATCCTGAGAAGATAGATCGAAATGAAAGATTAAGAAATGAAAAAAAATTAGGTGTATATTCCACTAGAAATTGTTTCTTTACCTTCTACAAGGATTTTACGAGATCTTTTTTATAATCTGCCTAATACAATATATTATGGGTAACAGAGTGAACGTAACTTGTTACCGTTGCCGAGCTTACGTAATTGAAATAAAAAAGATACAGCAACAATTTTCGAAATATCGAATAAGGTATAGACGATCAGAAATATAAAGCCAGTCGCGCGTACACTCGTTCTCTCCGGGCAAATAGTCGAGACCTCAAGGGGTATTTTTGACTTGTAGCGGTTTAAATCTATTTCTGGAGCCAGGATGAAGCATCGGCTCTCTCTTCCCCTACCACGTGATCCACCACTCTCTCCCTCTCACATCTCTTCCTGAGTCTCTCTCTCTCTCTCTCTCTTTCCGCGCTTCCTTCTTTCTTCTTTTTACATATTTCCCTCCTTTTACCTCTTTTGAATTTTTCTTGCTCAAACTTTTCGTTTTTCACAATCCAGACGCACGAGTCCATCTCGCGACACATGTGGCAGCACCGGTCCATTAACGTGCGATACATTTACGTTGGAGGCTTTTGTCCTTTGACCTCTCCTGTCGCCGCAACATTTGCCGAACCTCTTATGCCTTCTTTTACTAATTCCACAATATTGTTTCAATCTCTATTATTTTTCGAACGAAGTGCTATTATTTAAAAAATTTATTTTTTTTTCAGTCATATTATTCTTACTGTAGATATATAACATTCACTGAAAAAATATTTTCTCATATTGTTCAATGGTAAAATATAATCCTTACTCGTATAACCTGTAATACAAAGAGACGGAAGAAAGCGGTTAAATCGGGTTAAGGGGTCGAAATTAATATGACAAAGCAGTAGGGTCGGTAATAATTTCGAACAATCGTTAAAATATACTTAAAAAGGAAATTACAAATGAGAAACTTAAGTATTTGGAATTTACCGAAATATGGAAGTGTTTAAAATTTTGTATGATTATCCGAACAAAGGAAATGATCGGACTTGAATAGGGATTCTTTAAAAAGAATCTTCGGATGACGTTTAAGACCAAAGATTCGTCTGATGTTGCCATTATAATGAAAGCACAAGTAGATACTACTTTTCGAACCCACAACCCACTCTTATTAAATAGTTTTACTTTCGGTTCATTTCTATTTCTCGACACGTGCCACCCCAGAAATTGGGAAATCGATAACGCGATGCAATCTCAACCACGCATCCATAGCATAGTCCACGCCCCATGCTAAGGTTAAGCCACAACACGCTGCGTTTAGTCGAGGCACTGTTCCCAGAATACATGTATGATACGCATATAGGACTGCATGTCAATGCTAATCGAGCTAACTACAGAATGTGCATAATGGGTTCTGTGACCTTACGGAAGACTGAAATACAGTTAATTGCCAGCAAGTCTATTTAAAAAAAAGGAACAATAACATTTCCAAGACTGAATTAATAAATTTCATGATTTTTTCATTTTATCCATTGAGTTATTATTGATTACCGCCTCATTTTACGAGTTAATTGACTCGCCATAGTAATTAATTTAATCATCGCTAATTGCGATGTTAATGAATATTGATATTAAAGTAGGACAAAAAAATCTTGTGCAAACACAGCGTTCAGTTATACGCATAATTAACAAAAAGATATTATTAAAACATATTTTTATTATTATTATGCAAAATGTAAGTAATTCATTAATGTCATCAAAGCGATCGATTATTCATCTTTGAACTGGATTGTACTATGGAGAGTTGATAATATTGATTACTAATGTCAATATAACTACTAATGCTGTTAGTTCCTTAAAGTAAAACATATTGGCGTACAAGCACAGAACACCTACATTCAATTTAGTACACGGCTGTGATTGCGTGTCTGACAAAGATGGCAGACGTAACTTTTCTCCTGTCCAGCACGATCGCCATCCACTTCATTTATTATAACTACAACCGCGATTCACGTCACACGAGCCAATATTGATGGGTTTGAATACGCGGCGAGTCATCATTTATCAACGACTGAAAAGCCGCCATCCTTTACCCAGCGCGAACCAAAACTTTATTAATTTTACTCATCTTGGATTCTTGATATACTTTTTCTTTTATCATTATTCCATTAATACAGCCGCATACCAATGTCTTTCTCCCCGTTTATTTCATTCGGTCCACACCGAAGATTGAATATGAATTAGCACCGTGCTTGCTGATGCTACCTATGCATACCTTGATAATTCCTTTTTTTTTTCTTAAAAAGAAAAGTACAGCCTCAACAACTCTACGTAATTATTATTCTAAATATGCTTGATCGCTCCTGAAACTGGAAGCTGTAATAGAAAGAGCAGATTTTACGAGAAATTTGCAACGCGCATGGGGCGATGACGTAAAATTTTAACCCTGTGTAAATATCGCTTTACAGTTTAGTAGTAATGGGTATGATCATTTGACGGCGCTTTGAAGTGCACTAAATGGTCACATGCACACGCACATACATATAGCAAAGTACCCTTTCATCCGCTGACAGTTTGTTTTGCGGCGGTTAGTCCGCATGATTTTCTTACGGGGGGCCGAATCTTCTCTGTGCGAGGGAAGACGTGTGCGTAGTAGTGTATTTATATCGATACGAAATATGGAAGTGCGTGCAGTTGAAATACGTGTATGTTCCGTAATACTCATAGCTTAACACCGCACCCTAAGCTGTATAGTAAATTTATACTGTATTATACATTATCGATATGCTACAGTGTACAGTATATTATATACCGTCTTATTGTACTGTATAGTTATGATGTTATCCGACTGTCAAGATATTTGATCGCTCTACGCTATCACTAGATTTTGGCGCGAAAACGAGGGGGAAACTCATTTTTGATCACGGCAATTTCAGGTGTCTTACTTGGGATGGGACGTACGGTATATGTATAATAGAAAATGCATGTGATATTTATGATAAAAGACTTAATGTATGTTATTTCATTGGCAACGACCGATATCGTAATTTGCAGTTACTCGTAATGCAATTTGAAAATCGAAAGGGTATTTGAATACCTGTATTTGCAATAATCAATACGTGCCCACCCAGTACTACCATGCTAGGTGTGTATTTAAATAAAGAAAAATAAAACGATCAGTCGCTACGGTAGATAGTCAATCGTTGTATAATACTGCTCTCTGCCTTCTCTTACCTGATCTTTATTTCATTACGGTGTATATAGATTTTATTTTAATTAAACCGACTTAAATTTCGTTATTCAATGAAATTCACAACGAATATTATTCGCTAATATTTAATTCTCCGTTAGAAGTATGCTGAAATTTGCAAACCCCAGATACAGTATGTCAAGTTGACAGAGTACAGGCTACGAATGAAGTAAATATCTACGGATACATCAAAATATTTGTTCGTATTTAAAATGAAAATAGGATATTTGCGAGAACCGTATGAAGCGACGCAGAGTTTGTGGCTTTATACCATTTCGTCCTATCGTATAAATACGTTATATATTTTTCGATGCGTGCAGAGTCGTTAAATAAAAATTGGTATGTTGTGAAAAAATACTAGATGATCCTGAGAATGGTAACGTTGCAAAATAAAAGTTTGCCCATGAAAATTTTGACGTGATTTCATCGAAAATCCAAACGATATACAAAACTTTCGCGTTACATATTATATAAATAAATATAGTGTACGATTTATAGGATTTACATGCTATATTTACATTTCGGCATGAATTTTTAGCTGGAAGCTATTTTTTATTTCTTAAATAAACTTACGGCTTATGGAAATTCCGCGAAACAAATACAGTGGCTTCTACAAGAAATAAGTTAGGTTAATCACTCGTGAGAATACTCACAACATTTTTCAGTCGTCCAAGACAAAATATATATGCTGTTCGTCTGAAATACACTATAATTATTCTGTGCTACTATTGTCACAATGTGATTGCACGAGTTTCAAATTGTTATTGATTCATCTCACGTTACGTACATGCGAAACTGTCATATCCAGGCTACGTGAACGATGGTTCTAAGAGGTTGTCGGTCTGCTCGGTAGATGGCAGCACTTTCAAGTTTACAATAGATACGGCTTTTTCTTTGAAAATTTAAAGAAAATAGAAAACTAAACACCGACTATTCGTTGATATATTCTGTTACAGATTTTCTTAAAAATTCATCAACCGTGAAAGTTCCAATTCATGTGCCACTGGAGGTGTAAACTGATACTAGTAACTATTACGCAAGTGTTCGACCAATTCTATCATGCTGGCTATCATCTGTAACGTATTTTCTCAACTCGACACCTATAGCGAAAATCGGAGAGCTAACCTACGTCACCTTCGGAAGCCCACCGTTCGTCCATGCATCCGCATGCCAGGCGGGCGCCAGCCAATTATTTTTTTACCAGGAACTGACGAGCCGGTATGACCTGGGAACAGCTGAGGTGAAACAGTATCAACTCCGCCAAAATGAGAGTTCTGACAGAACGAATACATAATATTGCTTTTTGAGATCACTATGTATTGCCTTATCAATATGTGGTAAGTACTTAATACCGCTTTGCTTCTAAATGGACTCTTGATTAAATTAAAGCACACTAGAGTAGGTTCATTGAGACTTGTCAGAAAGTGGTACTTGCGTTGAATAGACCGTCGGGCGAACTATAAAGTGTATTAATAAAAATGTACTGCAATGCGAAGAGAAAAAATACATAAATAATAGTAGAGCTACATGTTTTTTGCCGTCCGTAAGACGTTTTAGTTAAAATTGCGTTAAAAAATGATTGGTCTTTCTTTGTCACGATTAAACTGCTTTTAAAGCTACAGAAATACACTTAAACTGATAAAAATAGATTGTTTGATTAATATTGATGGACTTGACGTGCGTACTCCAGTAAATTACGATCGTACGCTACCAAGTTTACGATTGAAGCAATGACGGGAATAATGTTTAAATATAAACATGTTAAAATTGGTCATGTGCAACTTCTGCAATGACCTGTAGACTCAGTCGAAGGTCAGCAGTAAATTTACAGCATAAGTCATGATTGGGCAATATTGGTAGCGATATAGAATTTTTGTATAACAATCATTACTATCATGATTTTAGGTAATTTTTATAAACTGGTTCTTATTCGTTCTTTTGAATTTTATTCTTTTGAATTTCTATTCGAATTTTTGTATAACAATCATTACTATCATGATTTTAGGCAATTTTTATAAACTGGCTCTTATTCGTTCTTTAGCATGTTTTTCAATTTTTTCTTCTTTCAATTGTTTGTATAACCTAACGTAATCTGTAATTTCTTCTGAGATTATCATTAGTTCTCGTGTCTGATTTATATGTGTTTGATCTATGGGAAACGGGAGTTTAGTGCACGCGCTTACCTATAGTCCAGATTCGTCAACTTTAATCACAAATTCACCCAAAATAGCGAAAAACGGAAGCCATATAAATCTTAGTGGAAAAGTAACAAATTTCGAGTATGCCGATGCATGTAAAAATAAAAATTTGAACGAAGTCGTGCGTCCTTCGGAATCCACCACATTAATCGCAATTAAAAAGTCGGAGAACTCATGTATCAGAAGAATGCAGAGTTTTGATAAGAACATAATGGTAGAAATAAAATCGGGAAATTTAAAAAATATTTCTCACAGTGAGTATTTCTCAAAATTCAATAATTCGTAATACAACAAAAATAAACAATTTCTAAATACTATTTCACATTAAAAATTTGTTTTCACCAAATCTAAATCAGTGCATTGATTTTCAGAAATATGTCAAAGTCATAATAGAAAACTGCTTAACGATATTTTTGAAACTGTTGCCAATCTCGAGTCAAGTTTGAGTATTTCCCGAAATTTGGAATTCGAGCACTGCCTTAAATATTCCACGTTGATATCGAAAAATGTAAAATTGCATCTTGATTTGCAAAATGCGTTCAAGCGTAATAAAACTATGCTCAGTAAGTTTTAAAAATGAAACACGAATTAGACATACAATTTTCCATTATTTATGATATTCAAAATTACTATAATTTTTACAGATCTATTTCGACAAAACGTTGGATTTGGAACAACGGCCCGGTTGCCACGTTCACTGAAAAGAGAAATACAGCGAACGTGGCATGAAAAGTAATAAAACAAAAAATTATTTCATACGATCTATTTAAAATTTTCAGTATGATAATATGTAACGTATTATTAATAATAGACTTCATGTCCAATTAGGTACGATGCCTTGTTGAAGGAAAATTCACAATTGAAAAAAGCAGCAGAGTCGATGCAACTCCTAACGAAGGAGAAGGATAGTCAGGTTCATTCAAAAAATTAATATTCTATAAACTGTTATTATACAACTATTACATTAATCAGATAGACACGCTTGAAGAGAGGCTTCTAAACATGGCCGACAACCTCCTCGAACGAGAAGACACAATAAAGAATATTTGTATTAAATATTTATCATTAAAAAGTCGCAAAGACGAACAAGAGACATTACTTCGAGGAACCATAGTAACATTACAAGTGAGTTTCATATAACGGGTGTCCGTGATATCGAGAAGTGAAGTCAAAATTTTCCGTGCTAAATAAAGTGTTTCTCGCCGGTTTCAGGACACGTTACAAAAGATGCAAAACAAAAATCAAAAACGTCATTAAATCCGATTAAATCGTTCATAATATGTACACATAAAAGTGGTTGGCCGCCGCAAAACAATTCTGTACCGTAAATATTTTATCACCAGACATTTCAAAGGAATTGCAGGTATGCAAATACATATAACAGTCGAATATTTAGCAAAAAAAAATGGTTAAGCTACTGACAATTTTTCTTAAAATATTCACTGAGATTTTTAATGAATATATTTTTTTCCATTCAGAAGTATTTTTTTTAATAATACAGTAATAATTTTACATTCTACTTCTCCTACGTGTAGTATGGAGTTATCTGGTCTAACAGAAGACAGGAAGGAAAGGAAACGTAGAAAATTATGTCAGTAAATGATAATGCAATTATTGGATTGCGTCTAATTGGATTATGATTTTCTCAGTTGTGCAAGTGCTTCTCTATATGAACATTGGGGTGGTCAGCTAAGCAGCCAGTGCTCGGGCACAGCGTCAAAGTGTACTGCCATTTTTTTCCACTGTAAAATTTCTTAAGTAAGTTCGCAATTTTATTACATAATACCTAAATCTCGTGAAATTGTTTGTGGAACGACATAAAATAATTTTTCAAATTTGATTTCAATTCGAAATCAGTCATTAACGAGTTACCATTACATCCTTCAGATGGAGCTGCCTAATTTCGAAGATTCAAACGAGGCTCGGAATATTTTTTGGAAAATATTAAAAAATGATTTGCTCAGTTACGATTCCATTGTTTTCAATAATATCACGAAAAACTTCGCGAATGACGATTGTTTTTGTGAAAGTCCAGCTAAACTTGGAATTGCTACCGGACTATTTATAACGTGTCTTGCTGATTTTCGAATACTCAATTTTAAGGTGCATGGTTTTAATTTTTGAAAAAAAATGAAAAAATTTACATGATAATGTAGTTATACTGTAACCCCACACCTCTTCTCCCTCACGAGATAACATTCTAATACTGACATTATTTTTTTGCAGAACTATTCCAAAAATTCTTTCGATTTTCTGTATAAAATAAGGAAAATGACGGTAACGATATTTAATTTGACCTGCTTTTGTCTATTGGCACCGATAGTCACCACAGCCCTAATGCTTTTATACGCTTATCGAAACCTAGTAAAGATAATTCTCAGTGTTAAATACAAGGATAAATTTGTGGGACTCCTAGACGGTACAGACTGCGTGTGGGCGCTCGAGGAGCCGACGTCCTTATCCGTAGTGAATATCCTGGCAATTTTGGAAAAGGATACTCAAATGAAAATTAAAAACAACAATGATATATTGGAGAATTTTCGTATGCTGGCAAAAAGCAGATTGCTGACGTCTAAATTCGAAAAACTTCAGTATCGAAGAAAAAAACAGTACGGTTATTTTTTCTGGGTGAAATCAAATCCTGAAACCGATCTCGAGAATAGGATCAAGTGGCTCCAGGACGAGCACATGGAATGCGACGGATCTTGCGACAATATTAATGGCCATTACTTAAGAGAACTTCTCGCTAAAATATGCAATGATCCCCTGCCAGACGATCACGAGGCATCCTGGGAAATTCTTATCGGCAGGACGTGTACCAAAGCGACTTCAGGAAGTGTTTGCCATATGGAGGAAGGCCGAATATTACGTAACGATACACATGCCAGTGATAAGATAAGGACGCCTATCCTTTTTCGAGTTCATCATTCTCTAGGAGATGGCGTCGCCTTACTGAGGTTGCTCCTGGAAGCCATAGCTGATCCTGAGGATATCCTGACGATACAGAACGAGGAATCATGGAACGATAGTTTTGATTTTGACCGGCAGGAAAGTGATTGCCAAGACATAAAAATTCCTCTTCCTGTCAGGACCGAAGACGGGACTTGGAATTCTTACAATGTAGATATAATTTCGGATTTTAAGAAAGAAGTAACTAGTAGACTCGTTACATCGTATGCGGATGTTCTATCATGTAGAAAGGACATTCTCAGTGCAACAATGCCATTCACGTCGAGTATCGCAATTCGAATTACCGGAAGATCGATACAAAATTATATTTATTCTTATCTGAAATTTTTTAATCATGTAAACGTCCACGATCTCTCTGCTTACGTAATTAAATTAACGAACGACCAACGGAGAAGATTGACAGAGTGGAAGGACAGAATTTTTGGAAAGATCAGCTATTTTACTGAAGTCATGATGATTCTTATAGAAGCACCTTTTTGTCTTGTGGATCAAGCCCTACGAAGTATGGATAACAGGTATAGGTTAATTAGCGACTGGTCAAACTAATTAATAGACCTAGTTGACGGTTCGTTATTTATTCATGAATTAATTTTTTTTTTTATTGAAACAACTCTCCTGATTATCACGCCGATCATACACTTTTTGTAGTCGCGTTGAAACTCATTAACTGATATAATTATTTAATCGATCTTATATTATTTCATGTTATTTTTAGCGCGATACACGGTCCGAAACTCACCGGTGAGAAAATCATTTCGTGCTGGGTAGAAAGCGATTTCGAAAATAAGAACGAAGAGACACTCTTGCTTAAAATACGAAGCATAAAAAACGCAATTGGTGCCAGATTTGAAGATGTTGTATTGGCAGCCCTGTCTTCCAGCTTACATAAATATTTTATACAGGTAATACTATCTTCAGAATTGTATCTTCATACAATCAGAGAATTGTAATCAGCAATGGACAAATTCAGACCCCCTTTTTGAAAATTTAATATACCATGTATGTCTATTTACCTGTTTTTCAATTTTTAGGTTAACGAGAGCATCCCAAAAACTGTCACGGTTATATTACCAGCACGGATGTCATCGATGAAAAAGGATTTGTGCCTAGAGAATGGATTTTCTGTGGGTTTACTTCCACTTTGCGTTCGCCAAGTAAACGGCGTTTGCATTGACGCGCCGAATGGAAATTTCAAAAGTTTTCAAAGACTTTTGGACGTGTCGAGACGCTCGGAAAAATTACGTAGGGATCTGGATTATCGAATTAATTATTGGGTAATGACGTGGCTGTCTGCGGCATTACCGGAAGTCTTTCTGAAACCGATACTCGAAAGTCATAGTACTCTGGTCTTCAGCAATCTTCAGGGACCCGAGGAAGTTCAAATTTTGGGTCATGTATTGAAGAGTATAGCTTTTTGGATGCCGCACAGGTATATTATAATTTTATAAGCAAATCCTGTGTTATTTTATTATAAGCTTATTCTGGATTCACGTGATTTTTATCTGTTTTAGAGGCTCGACTGGGATCGGTTATTCCGTATTGAGTTATAACGGAAATCTAAATCTGTCATTGATTGCTGATAAGGCACTGATCAGTAACGAAAAATTGCTGAGTGATATTTTGGAAAATACCGTTCGCGAAATCGAAAGATTGTATGATATTATAACATTGACTTGTTTTTCAAGAAAATTGTACAGGCGGATGGCAGCACCCATGTGAAGAGGTATTATTACTATTATGCTAAGCTGTGTATGTATATAATACATTTTTTAAATGTATAAACTAATAGAGGCAATGAACTTATTATGTGATTACAGGTACCGGAGTGCTGTTTTTTGTAATTTCGAAAAGTTTCGCAAGAATTTGAAATTTTGAAAATTTACATAGTATTACGAATATCTGGATATATTACTAAAGAACTACTATCAATCATTGCACATCTTGTACATACATATACTTATATAAAAATTTATATACATACCTGATTTACCGAAATTTGCAATTGCGAATAAGTAGGTAGAATTCTTGAACTGTACATCTTGTTGAATTGATGATTTTAAATATACATGGAATTGCTTTTAATTAATTCTTGAAAGCTCTTTCTTTAATTATTCACAATGTTAATTATTGATATTCCCTTACACGTCAACGATTACTTCTAAAAAAAAACAGCGGCCAAAAGACTATATCGAAAAGAGCATCAAAGAATGAAAAATTATTTCTTGGACGAGCTTTGATCTTCGGTGGATTGCGGGAATTGTTTGTCTTGGGAAGTGGATTCGCGATATTCTTGGGAAGCGAATTTTTGGGCAATGCTTTGGAATTTCGAAGTTTCACAGGCGAAATATTGTCGCTACTGTAATCCGAGAGATATTCTGGGTCATCGGTACTCGAATGGACGAAACCATTATTTTTGGAAAATCTATTTTCAGAGGAGAAGAAACAGAACCCTTTTATCACCTATTCCAACTACGAATTGCATAATAAAATTGAAGGAGATTTAGAAGGAATTTTTTCTAAGTGGTAAACAAGGTAGACTTAACGTTTCACTAAGAGAAACGTACTTTGGAACTTTTGAGACGTATGACGTAATTTCCTGAGAACTTCGAGAATCGCTTGACGGATCTCGCATTTTTCTCGTGGGAGTTCGAAAGTTTTGATCGCTGCAAGCGCGGCAGGGTCTTTTCAATTCGTAATTTTGATAAACAATCATGGCCGATCGTTCGCCAGTATTGCCAACTGTGGCTGGGGATTCATCAGTGGAAGTTATTCCGTGATCGATTTCCGGTTCATCAGTAAATTCCCCTTCAGAAATTAGATCTTTTTCTAACTTAGACCTAAACAATATATATTATTTATATGTATCATTTCGTCAAAATGAAATATTAATATCTTTTACTTGGATATTTGTCGCAAAGCTTTGCAGTCAGTCTCGCCCTTTGACGATGTCCCCACCTCGATTTTTTCAACAACTTTCTTGAATGTACTTCCCTTTCCCTCGAATTTTCCAAAACTGTAATAAAAGGGTAGCAAGTTGCAAATATTTTTAGTACTAGGATCTATCAAAATATTCTGTATGTCGTTTTTTAGATTTGTCTTACTTTCCTGATTTAATTCGAACGATTGATTGTTTCGAATTTGGGCCATTTTTAAATTTACTTTTTAACGAATATCGGGGAAACTGTTAAAATAAAATTTCATTTGAATCAGAACGATCAATTGCTACACATTGAATTTTACTCTTAACAAAGATATCTGTGTGGGATATAGCATTTTGTATATTTGTTAACGCTTTGAGTGCTGTAGGCCTGTTAATGCTCTCAACGTAAAATGTTCGCTTTAGGCGGATATATGCACTCAAGTGCTTATCACTACTGGCTGAGTTTAGATCACATTAATAATAAGTGCTTTTTCGTTACTCTGTTTCCCACTCAAAGGTTTAAAAGTCCAAATTAGAATTACGCACTGCACTGTTTCTTTTCGAAAATTCCATCCTTGCGACCTTTTTTGGCTGGGATACTTCCTCCTTTGCATTGTTCGATTTGTTTTTTCGTGCAGAATTAGGTACTGGGATACGACTGATTGTATTTTTCATGAACACTTTCTACGAAAAAAAAATACATTTTTCAAATCCCAGATCAAACATTATTTCCACTATAGGTATTTAGTCATTGGAGATTACCTTTTCGAAATTTGGTGATGTATTGTTATCCGTAACCTCGCTGTCATCCTGAAGAGGATTATCAATAATTTCAATCTCCTGTATACCGTGTGCAAAATTATTTGCCACGGGAGCAGAAACATTTTTCGAAACTTTTTTTTGTATTTCCGGCATCCACTTCTTCCGAGGTACTTGATTGTTGGTTACTGTAGTACAACGATATTGTATTTCTTCGTTAATCGCATAAGAATTTTCAAACTTTGACTGCCTCGCAGATACATTACGATCGTATGTTTTCGATTCATTCTGCTTATTTGAATCCGAACATCTTTCGACCGGAGTAATGCCAGAATTTCGGTTTTCAAAATTTGAGTCAAGTGTACATGCCATTTTCTCACTCATACTTTCCACATCATTTGGATGCCTACTGTATTACATTTTAAATGTATTATACATATTACGAGTTACAATAATTACTTTTTAAAAGTCTAACCAAAACTCACTGCTTGATTTTTGAGGATTTGTGAGAATTCTCATGTAGCTTCAGTCGGCTCCAAAGACTCAAAATCGTTTTAATTCCCCGATTTGATTTCCGATTCTTCTGCTTACGTTGTAAATAACGAGGATGAATAGAATCACAAGGATCCGTCTGATGTATGGATTGCGAAGCCACGATCCTTGTGGCGTCACGCCGCCATTTTCTCACGCTACCTCGCGACTTCAAAATGGGCACTAAGAAATAAATTAATTTCAGCTGAAGTCGCTTCCAGGTTCCCTTTGAATTCGCCAGTATTGCGGAATCTAGTTTAAACTCAAGCAAATACTTTGACGTTTCTACATTTTGTTGCAATCTGACGATTCTAGTTACTTTTCCATTTTTTCCCTTCCGGCGATCAGTTTTGTCGCTATCAGGAAGTATAGGTATTTTTACTCGTAAAAGATCTCTATGACATGCATCTTCAATATATCGAACGTATTGCTGTTGCTTTATTATTGCTGAGTTGTTTGTTGATAACACACATGAATTGGCTGTTTCGTTACTAACGTCAGTCAATTTAATGACAGGTAATACGAGTGAAGGAGGCGTTGTTGATAGGCGAACCAACTTTGTTAAAGGAAAGTTCACGAATGTACCTGGAATGAGTTATTTTAGTAACACAAGGATAATAGAAATGCAGTTACGACCTACAGAAAGAAACTTTTTCCAATCGTCAAAATTTATTTTTAAGATAAATATTTCTTAGCGTCAGTTTTGCTTTTCCTTAATGTAATTTTTAAACTTAACGATCGCATGTAATAGTTTTCTATTAATTATTGGATTAATATTATGAATACTAAACTCCAAATTGTAATCCAGTCTTAAAGTTCTAAGCCCTCACAATGAATTATATGTCATTGATTTACCTATGTATTTTTGTTAAAAACTTATCGTAAATGCGGTCTGTGCAATAATAATATGCGAAATACGAATGTCGAGATCTTCTCATAGGCTAGAAACATTAAGGCAGCCGTAAGTACAGTTTGCAGAAGTTTGGCCTCCAACCCTTTGTACAGGCCTCCGAGTCCTTGTTTCCTGGACAGAGAGTAAAAAAAATAGTCTTTAAAATTTTGACTAATCAAGTGCTATCGTATAAAGAAAGCTTTGACAAATATCTTACTTTATAATATAAAATAGTAATTGTAAAGCGCCAGCTCTTGGAGAGAGTTCAGGATACTTATGACCATGCTGAAGTAGAAACAGATCACATAAAAAAAAGTTAGTAATAAAATATTATCAAATTATGATTAAATTATCATTCACGATAACAGGTATGATAAGCTACAAAAACAATACACGACTTACCCTCTGCTTTGTCTGTACCAATTGCAATGGATAAGTGATGACAGTTGCAATGGTTTTTGCAATTGCACCTATTGCAAAAAATACCATAATCGGTGGTTGTGATCCGGCCCAAGATGCGCTCACGCGCCTCTTAATGCTCTCATAAGTCATGAATTGTATAGCTGGATTAATGACTAGCATCAAACTGGGCAAAGTGCCAGCCCAGAGATTTTGTAATCCCTCAGTTTTCCAAATATGAAGAAGACCGTCTGAAGCATTAAAAAAGTAAAAAGTAAAATCAAATACATAATCTACTTAATGATATGAAAATAGTCTTAAAATATACGTTGGCGTTAATGACATTGGTACGTACCATAATATAAAATATTCAAGAACTATTTGGCAAATGTTCGCGCATCGGTAAGTAAGAATCGCACGTGAGATCAATATTTCATGTCATTAATAAATAATCAGTACCAATAAGAGAATGCTAATGAACAAGTAAATATAATGATAATAACTCTACGTTGGTTTAAGGTTCAAATTAAAAACCCGTTAAAATAAAAAGCCACTAAATACGTAGTTTCACCATATGGATATACATTTTTTTAAAAAGCATTTTATCCCAATATTCAACCAAAAAGCAATATCGAGTACAGGTACCATATTAAAAATGAATTAATAATCAATATCACAAATCTCATTAATAAATGACTACTTATACTAACCATATAAAGTGTTGTAGTTGTTATTATTCTGTTCTCCACTGGTACCAATACCTTTCATCTTTAGTCTTGTATTCACCACCCATAATGGTGTCGTGGTCAAAACATTAATTACACCTGAAATTAAAAGATTATCAGTGATAACACATATCCCAGTATGATTGTAAGTATCGATTATCGGTACACGCGCAATCATCAGTCGCAAGTATCAAGTAACAATAAATACTATGCACCTGCGATTGACGCAACCAGCAAATCATTGCCGGCTGATTGTCGTCTTGAGCTTCTTAATAATTTCAAGCCGTGGAACGTATAGAAGTACACGAAGTTACTGGCGCACAGACTTTGTAACACTGGCACCATACCCCTGTATAGAGTGTGACTACGAGGATGAAAAGAAAATAAAAATAAATTTCCATGTGTTCCTTGATTTTTAAGTTGCATATTTACATAAATCGAATACGTGCTAACAAGGTGAAAACAATATTGACCAAGACAACATATATGCATTCCTAACTTCATATGTAAACGAAGGATATACATAAAATATGTAGAGTATATATGTACGTATGTAAATTTGGACGATAAATTCTTAAGGAATTGACTGTCCATTGATTATCGGATAAGCATTGCTTCTTTATATTTCTAATGTTTGTAATAGCATAATGAATATTGAGTATGTGTACGTGATTACGAAATAGTTCTCTATAAGTAATTGCCACATGTTTCGTATATATCTTTACTTGAAATTCTTGTAGATTCTTATATTATTCAATAAGAAAAATTGACGAAGCAATTTCAAAATAATTGAATGCCACTGGTGACAGAGGGTTGTCCACCATTCTTTCTGTAACTAAGAACATTGTATTGTTATATTAAAATTCTTGCGCGTCATTGCATTATTCCTGTCCCGGAAGAAGCAAATGCTAAATTAAAACTGTGGTGTATGTAAATTTTTTAAAAAAGTCAAATGTTTCGATTGTCTTTTATATTAACATTGAATAAAACTGCAGAAACGTACAATCCTTCCTTTGAAACCAGCTCGCGAATAGTCGCCAATGTGTTCTTCGATTCGCGATCTTCCTCCACTTAAAACAGAAGAAAACAATTATTAATTAAAGTCGAACGCAGGAAAATTGTGGATACTCATAACAAGATCGACGATTGTAATATCATGATATTATTTTAAATCAGTAACGTATTAGCATGTGACGGGCGATGAGAAGATGATAAATAAAAAGTAATGTAAATATGAAAATATAAATAAAGGCATTGGTGAAGCATGATAAATTGAAAGCAAGGATACCGTATGCGTCGACATTTGCAAATTTTTTATAGTAATATAGGTAATATTACATTTGGCAAAGTAGTGCAATTGGCTGTTATTTACGAGTCGGAAATGAATCTGCAGTAAATCAAACTGAAAATGGGGTTGGCAAAAACTAGTTAGAACGAGTAATTCGACGGCGAACTGACGGGAAATAAATGAAAACATGGCGCTATGTGTTCGATTTAGAAAATGTAATGAACACGATCATCGAGACGGAAACAAGTTAATAATGATTTTTTTTCAAACAATAATTCTATTTCCAAATATAGTTACTACAAAGGATACATACATATTTGTATTTTTGTGGTAATATGAAATTGTACCGATAAAAAAATGCAATTGCATTAACGTCGTGGCATGTCTTTCATAATTTTGTAAATGTATAGTTATCGCGTGAGAGCAACTCGATAGCTAGTAATTAAGTAACTTCCTGTCGTTCAACGTATAACAATTATCGCGTACCCACAATATAAAGTAATTGACAATTATACAATGACTGTGCGATATTACCAAAACGTTTAATATGCATTGACAGATAATAAGAAATTTCTTGACAACTTAAGTAGAATACTTACATTGCAATCGACTGCGAACAGTGTCAAGAGGGAAGAACGTAGCCATGGCAACAACGCTACCCTGAGCGAAAGAAGAAAAAGAAGCAATTCAAAGATAAAGTTAGTTACTTGGGAGAATATATATATATATATATAACATATATTTTGTACTCACGGCAGCGCCGGAAATTGCATGGACTAAAGTCTCGTAGGTAAGAAGATTCCTATTATTTCCACCCGTCATTTTAAAGATCAATAACCAATCAAAGCATTCGAACCAAGAAGTTGCTTATCATAAGCCAAGTTGATTTATCGATAGAATTGAATCTCTATCGTCTGCTTTCACCGCTGAATGAATGTTCTGTGTTTACAATATTCAATATTACCGACAAACATACTCTCAGATTGGGTCTTCTCACATATGAGGTTAGAATATACCGTCGCTAATTCTATTGATCCAATTTAAAAAACTTGGTTTAATATCCAACTGTTACTCATGCCCTGACACATATTTAACTGAAGCCTTTGAAATTAATCACCGATATAAAACTACCTCAATCTTAAATATTTATTGTCAAACTTCAACTTGTCCAGAAACAACAATGTACACCCATCTACTCGCAGCCATGTGCAATGGCAGACTGAGCTCCGTATTCGTGCCGCTCACTTATATAAGATTCGTACGTAATAGGTGACAGCGTCGTGTCGTCACAAGAAAGCGAAATTTACGTACTCAGCGGCCTTCGCTCGTACTATGCTATTTAAACTGACAGCGTTTATTAGAAATTATGCTGTCACGTCTTCCGAATGATTCCTTCTTCTTTCGGATTTTCAGTGGTAAAGTGCGTTCCGGCCAATAATGCTACAGTGGCGCTACGAGTGAATACTCTTGGAACTTTCATGAAACATGCGCAGTTATGTCTATGATATATTGATGCAATATATAGGGTGTACCAAGTATACAGTAAAGATTAGCCGCAGAGTGTAAGCGATGTAGATAAATAACACGTACTATACAGTCAACGGTATTATGAAGTATTGGTTTTACATTGTGCAAGAGTCTGATAGAAAATTGTTCTATGGGATTTTCTACTGATAAATGCAGACGAGTAAAAATAAAGAATAAATATGTTTATTATAACTGAATTAGCAATGAGTGACGACTGATCCGGTGGTATCAACTGATTAATAAATAATATTCTCTTCAATGCGAAAAAAACTATAGATAACTTCAAGTTTGTTACGAATTAAATATGAATAATATGATCTACCTTATCGCGTACCTGACAAATGGTCCCTTATCTCGAAATTTATACTTAACTCCGATAAGTCTTTCATACCTTTTATGATACGACTTTCATAATGGACCGTGAGATAACCAGGTAACTTGCGTTATCCGCAAGTCCAAACAAATATTTTAGGCAGTTGAAAAATATTATTTTCCAAATTTAATGATACAATAAATTTTGAAATTCGAGCGTTCACAAGAGAAAATGAAAATCGTAAAATTTCTCCTAAACCTACTCTATTGCACAAATTCCTAAGATACCTTGAGGCTATCAAGAGGTTCCGACGGTTTTTCCCGTAATTTAATTAAGCAGTTTATGTCCTCGGAATTTTCGCAAGTGGGGGTAAAGCTTCCCTGCAGTTACGGCATAAGAAATGTTTGTGGTAGTAAGAAGGTAGACTAAAGGCACAGTGCTTACCCGTCTTGCCAGGAGAACAGATTAACGCGGCCAGGAATGGCAGCAGTTTCGCTAATTGCGTGACGTGAGATATCATTTAATCCGTGGGCACATCTGTCGCTTCCATTGTTCCCGTTTAAAGAACGATAAGGAGAAATATCGAAATTAGTCAAACGCAAAATGAATCCTAGTTTCACGAGTTATTAGGGTGAAAACATATTTGGAGGTACAGAATGGAACAAGGCGGATCCACGTATATGGGTACAAAAAGGAAGATAAACGGCTGACGGCTGATATACCACTAATTACAATGGGGGAACAGAAATGAAACCACCTAAAGAGGGATGGGAATAGTACTTTCTATTTAATTAGGAAACAGTGAACGCTTTAGGGATGCGAAAAAAAAATTACTAATTTCAATGAAATATACGTAGATTACGTATACGTATTTCATTGAAAATTAAAAGATTTCCATGAAACGTGAAAATCGGTTGAAAAAAAAAAACAAATACTTTTTAATCATTTGACGCCTGACGATCACGAATAACGTGTGGGAAATTGATAAATGGTATCTCGTCTTAAAATACTGACTGCGTCTTAAAGTACTGCGTCTTAAAATACTGACAGATCCGCATAATAATTTCAAGGAAGTGGTAGTGTACTAGGCTGTACACAAAGTAGCTGCAAAAATCAAAATAGGGTTTGGAGCTATACTTGTATGTACATACATACATTAACGTAGCACTGTGAAGAACCTAACCTAACCACTTTCCTTCAGCCCTGCCTACCCACGTAGTGAGAAAACTACCCGAATGTCACAGGGTCGCAAATGATAAGCATGAACGTCGCTGAGCAAATGATAGAAAATTGGCGTGAAAATGTGTGATGAATTTTTTTCTTCTTCGGGTGACTAAAATTTTATTCAAATAAATTAGTCAACAGCAGGTTGGTATGATATAGCCAATATGATTATGAATAATCGATTATGTTTAAAGCTACCATGAAAACAGTGAGTCCCTGTTTTACTTTTTTTTCCAAACTTCTGTCTCCTGTCTCAAGAAAAGAAAAATTGCTTTATAGTTCACCGGAAGTCAAGGTAAGGATACTTCTCGTTCATAATGACTGACAGGTAAAAGCAAGGACCGAGCACCGAAGTTTAAGAAGGAATTTTGATGTTGTGGCAATCTTGGTAATTTTCGGTATTATCTTTATTCTTGTTTTATTAAATAGAAAAAATGCCAGCACAAGAGCACGCTCTCGAACGACTATGGAGACTTCGGCAGTTTCCGGTTACCAGGAAACACTCGATGTACAGAATATTGTGTATACTTGATACGTGTACTCAGGCGATATTGGAGCACAAAGAGAACCAAAAATGTTGAAGAAAAAAATTCATACTAAATATAGAGAGGAAAATCGATCTCGTCTTTCTGGCTAAATTATCTTCTAGTACATGTATACGTTTACAGGTATGTGTATTATATTGTTTGGTTTACGTATAGTAAACACTTGATTATTGCACAATCGTAACACTTTCACAAATTCCATTACCGAGTTTTTAATGTAATACGATGCGCAGAGGCATTTGAAAATTGATTGTACAATGGTAACAATAACAATGAAGAATTATATTTAAAAGGATAACATTAGTATGATTATGCTACGAGATTTTTAGAAAAATTGCGCTAACAATTAATTTTTAATAAATTATTATTTTGATATAAAAATAACATAACCTTAAGTCTGATAAAGTAATTTTAATAAGATGGAATTTAATGGTATAGAGCCATTGAGGAAGGTACTAATCATATTTAATAATTCATTAATAAAAACAATAAATGTAATCATTTACACTAATTCTACGAAATTGTGGCATATCGATCTTTGTTTAAAAAGAAATATTAATAAAGACCATCGCTACGTAACGTATGGACGAATGTAAAAACAACTGAGACTCAAAACATCAGTCAGAAGGTACTTAAAATTATCAAATGTCATGTTTTCAAATAAGATATTTGGCTAGTAGCTGAAAGCACCGCCAGAGTGAGCATAATCGCCCGATGACGCAATGTCCGTATGGTATTATGGAAGGATATGTGCAGTGCGTAAAGATTGAAATTGATAATCTCGATATCATGGGCCTTATGTACAGGTGATACATTGATAAAATTGCTTAGAAATATTTTTGGTTCGGCCTGTATAGGCATTTACGCTTTCAAAATTACTTTGTGAATAAGGCTGCTGCGTCTACTAATAGAGGTATCCGTCGAGAGACATTGAAATTCTGTGCATCTGGTAACATTCAAATTTCCCGCCCTTTCGAGCAAATGCAATATACATATAGTCACGTAAACCCACCTAGTATAGTATATCTCCTAGAACTTCAGCTATATGTATATTATATATTTAAAATATCGTCACAAAGTTTCATGAGTTATTGCCTAACTCGAAATATTATTGCTTTCCGCCACGATGATCAGTTGATCACTCTCTACCTCGATCAGTGTGATTTATTTGCATGCGGATAAATGGTTACGTAAGTTTAATCGTGACCATCGGATTTATGAATGGCGAGCCTAATCTGGGAGATTAGGAAGTATCTGATGAAGGGGTGTCGTTTTGTGGATTGTAAAATATATATAACTATACATATTAGGATTGTTTTTTTTTTTTTTCGAAGTTAATCCGGGGAGTCATATATAGCAATTTCAAGTTCTCTTCGTAAAGGGGCGGGAATTTCAAATGTACTTATAATATATTTTAACCGGGATTTTCAAAAACGCTATCTAAGGCGTTGGGTGGTTTAAAACGGTTGACATTCTCGAAAATTCCTATTCTAATTTTTGTCTCCTTCGTCACTGGATCATGCATGTCTTCCTAGGCTCGGAACTCCTCAAAGTGATACGTGATCCAGGAGTGTTATTTTCATTTCCGGTTCCAAGAGAACACGTTTTGGTCCGCATTATCATCAGGTCCGTTCTTATACTCGGTCGACGTACATTTGGCGCGACGACGCCGCAGGCATCACTCAAACGACGCTTTATACTAAGCGTTGCTTTGTGTTTCGGCTAAAAATGTAAGAGAATATTTTTCAAGATAAGATTGAATTGCCAATAATTTTGAAATTCGACAGATCAACGTTTAAATAAATTTGAGAAAAAGTATTAAAAGAAAGTTTCAAATTCGAAAGGACATGGGACAGTACTTGAGATGGTGGTAGCATTGTTGGAGATCCAAAGGTCAAAGGTACTTTTCTGTGATGATTAGGTGCCATTTCAAGTGGCAGTCCTGCCACTACAAAAAGCTGATAAAACAATTCATCAACGTGGTGATTCCCTTTGGCTGACACCTCTACGAAAACACAGCAATCGTCTTGAGCCGAGCAGTATTGTTGTGCCTCCTCCACGGTGACAATTCTATTCAAAGAGCCATCAATCCATTTCCAATCATCCCTAAGAAAAATCCTCGCAAAAGGAAGCTCGGCATAGGTGTAAAGGCATACGTGTCTGCATATTATACAGGGTGTAATATAAAAAGCGCATTTCAATTGCGCGACGAGACTCTGAGTGAGAGACAGAGTCAAAAATGTAAATACAAAAATTTTGTACGGTCAATAATAACCGAAATCCGTTCAAATTTCTCATCGACACTCAACACACTGCTTAACCCACAACAACGTTTTGCGTAATAACGTACATTACACCCTGTATAGAGTAACGTTTTCCAACATTTTTTAAGGGTTAACCTACTTGATATCACGATCGCACTTGTTCCCTACTATCACCATGGGAACTTTTAGGCTGTGGTGAGTTTTACTTCTGCTCTTGGCCGAACCTTGTGTAGCGCTCAGCTTTGTCTCCAATATGGCTTCTCGAAGTCTTATCGCCTCCTCAAAAGACTCTCGACTGTCCATGCTGAAGACTACTACGAAAAGGTCTCCTAAAAATGAACAATAATTATTTGTACAGAGGTACAACCTCAGCCGAACTATTCACGACACACTATGTATGTTTTCTTTAAACTGTCATGGATTTATTTACTTTCATCACGCGTTATATATTTCTGGGCTACTTGTATCTTGTTGTACTTGCAGTACCACATAACCAACGTACAACATTGTATGTACACGTTGTATCATGTGTCTTTCATATCAGGATGATTTATTTACGTTGAAAGTAGGCAGCTGTATTGTTTCCACGCGATACGTCGACTACAATTGTCTACCGACCGTTCGTTGTTCCGCACTGCTTGGTCGAAGTAACACGAAATAGTCCCACAGCAACGTACAAGGGGATGGTTCCCATATTGTCTGCGGATCGAGGTCGCCGATTGGGTTTTCTCATGCTTTTCAAGTAACACGGAGAACTCTATCAATAGTTCTTAAATCTTTGCGAGCAACAATAGACTACTGCGAATTGTTACAATACATTGAAAATACTTCTCGGAGATGGCGCTAGTATCGGACAGTCTACTGACCCCAAAATTCAAGTCGACTATGTATCTTTTAAGCACGGCATACATTGGTATATCTCACAACCGACAATACGAAGTCAAAAAAAAATGTATTCAGCTAGATAAGTAACGACAACTTAGAATAAGGCGGGAGATTCAAATAATTCTTAACAGAGTTAGGCAATTTCGTAAAAATAACCAAGGAGCTTCCGACGCGATTTCCTTTGTGAGTCAAGCCGTTCAAGCCCACGACGAATCGGAAAACAAACACACACTATAGGCTGTGAAGCGTGCAAGATGCTTCGGCTTTTTGTATCGTTCTCCTATACCTTTATTTCTACTTTTTTTATTTTCATGAAAAATTCATAACCATACGCCTTCGACTCTTCGATCCAGAGTATCGTTTGTCTTTGACTTTAACACCGACTATTTATGATTAATGATTATGAGAAATGCCAAAAAAGTTATTTTGACCCCCC